TAGAGGATGTTTTTTTAGTCGGTACGGGTTGCATATTCGCCGAACCAATACATGTCAGGTCTCACCAACCATGGCGGTTCGAGGTCAATACCATCACAAGACCTGACCAATCCCGACACTGCACTCCAGGAATCTTCATCCCGGACCCAAGTGCGTACGTAAAAAGTATTTTTTTAAACCTCTATAAATAAAAAAAAAATCTCTCTCTGTCTGTCTGTCTGTCTCTCTCTCTCTCTCTGTCTCTCTCTCTCTTTGTCTCTCTGTCTCTCTGTCTCTTTGTCTCTTTGTCTCTCTGTCGCTCTGTCTCTCTGTCTGTCTGCTTCTCTGTCTCTCTGTCTCTCTGTCTCTCTGTCTCTCTGTCTCTCTGTCTCTCTGTGTCTCTGTGTCTCTGTGTCTCTGTGTCTCTGTGTCTCTGTCTCTCTGTCTCTCTGTCTCTCTGTCTCTCTGTGTCTCTCTGTCTCTCTGTCTCTCTATCTCTCTGTCTCTCTGTCTCTCTGTCTCTCTGTCTCTCTGTGTCTCTGTCTCTCTGTCTCTTTGTGTCTCTGTCTCTCTGTGTCTCTGTCTCTTTGTCTCTCTGTCTCTCTCTCTTTCTCTGTCTCTCTGTCTCTCTGTCTCTCTGTGTCTCTGTCTCTCTGTCTCTCTGTCTCTCTGTCTCTCTGTCTCGCTGTCTCTCTGTCTCGCTGTCTCTCTCTGTCTCTCTCTATCTCTCTCTATCTCTCTCTGTCTCTCTCTGTCTCTCTCCCTCTCTGTCTCTCTCCCTCTCTTCCCCGCTCCCTCCCCCCCTCTCTCTCCCTCTCTCTCTCTCTTCTCGAGAGAAAGATTTCGTTTCGAGTTTTTGGAAATAATCTGGGATGCGAGTAAGTGATAAGGGAAAGTTCTTATATGAATGGGTGGTTGGGTGCCCTATTGAACCGGCCTGAACAATCCCCAAAAAAAGTGACGATTTTGTCACTTCGTTTTCAGTTTTTGGAAATAATCTGGGGTGCGAGAGAGTGATAAGGGAATGTTCTCATGTCCATGTGTGGTTAAATACCCTAATCAACTACATTGAAAAAACCAAAGAAACACTGAAAAAAAAAATTTATTCCGTTATTTCCTTTTTGGTTTTTGGAAATACTCTGTTGTGTGAGTTCGGAAGTTCGGAAGTTCGAAACTCGATGAATGGATAGGTGGGTAACAGGCCTTACGATCACCATGAGATAAAGTGTTGAAAAAAAAAATCTCTTTCATAATATACTTTTTGGGTTTCGAAAATAATTTAGACCGTGAAGGGGCGACAAGAACAAGTTTTCATGTCGGTGGGTGGATAGGTCATTAAGCGTGTTAGGAAATAACACCCAAAAAAGCTAAACAATAATAATAATAATTCATTTGGTTATTTGATTTTTAGGTTTTTGAAAATAATCCGGAACGCCAAGGGGCGAAAAGCGGAAGTTTTATATCGATGGGTGGATATCAGGCGGAAAAAAAAGAGAAACACTGAAAAATGAAAGAAAACAAAAATCATTTCGCAATTTACTTTTTCTTTCTCGAAAATAATTGGTGGCGTGAGATGGCAAGAAGAGGGGAGCGGCATTGTAGATTGGTATGTGGCAATGGACCACGCCAAAATGTTGAAAAAATGGAGAAAAAAAATTGAACATTTATAAAAAATAAAGTTTCGGCCCTGTGAGTAACAGACCCTGAAAAAATATAAGGTGAGACAGAATAATTTTTTGGAAAATCAAAAAATAAATGGTCGGATCCAAGAGTCGAAGAGGAACTTTCGATCCCAAAAATGATCCTCTCTCATACCCTTTCAGGAAAGCGATCGGTTGCGGGACACCCTGTATAAGGGTCCAAATGTAAAGCTCAAAATCTAGGGGTCACCGACGTCGGTGGCCGAAGCGGCTAGGTGCGAGCCTAGTGTGCGAAAGGTTGGTGGTTCGATTCCCCGTGGAACCGAGTTTTTCAACCGGAGGCTCCGGCGAGCGGGAGGTCGCTAATATAGTGACCGCCTGTACCGGCATGGGTTTTCTGTGGTTTCCCATGCTACTCCTATGTTCTATAAGAGTGCTAATGCGGTGCAGTGTAGAATCCACAGCCGCATGCATAGGGTTGGATAGGGCCGATTAGCCAATCAGAGGGCAGAAAGGGCCGGAATATAAAAAAAAAAATCTAGGGGTCAATTTATACGGGTCAAAATCTAAAGGTCGCAACCCAAGGGTAATACGGGTCGTAATACCAGGATTTGAATATGAGGGTCAAAATCCAAAGTTCAGGATTTGAGGATCACAAGGGACAAAATCTCAATGTCATACGGTTAAAAATACAAAGTTCTACATTTGGGGGTCAAAATCAAAGCTTGCGAATTTAAGGATCACAAAGGTCCAAATTTAAGGGTCATAAGGTTCCAAATATAAGGGTGAAAATTTAAGTATCTGAATATAAGGGTCACAAGTGTTATCATGTAAGTGTCAAAAAATTAGGATCAAAATCTAAACTTCGAAATATAAGTTTCGAAATATAAATGTCAGAAACTGATCGTCATATTTGTGCTTCACGGAACTCAAATAAATTCTCATTTATCACTATCGCTAAGCATTATATCATGCATATATTACATATCAAAATATTGGATCTGCATAAGAAAAAAATTAAGAAAACCGTAAATACTGATAAATGCTGATAATAAATTGAAGATTGACGATTCTTCTACGCGATTTGAAAGAATTCAGTTATGACAAAATCATACTTGAGTACAAGAATATTTCAAAGCATGAGACCTTTCTCGGGCCACGTGAGTTGAGATGTCTGGGAGAATTAAACAACTGAAGAAAAAGTACTTATCTCAAGAAAATATGTTTCAGAAACATCCGACCATCGACGAAGTGATGATCACCGTATTCAACGTCCTTCTAGCAAAAATAATCAGGACATACACTGAAACTGCCCCAAGAATTCAGAAACCACCAATGGCTAGAAGCATGCGAATCAATTCAGCGCCAAAAAGATAAGAAATACTGATCCATATTAAAAAAAATTACGAGATATAGGCCCGAAATATCTATCCCCGACATCTCCTTCAACAATCAAACTCTGACCTCTGACGTAGACAAAACCAATGCATTCGCCTCCCACTTCCAAGACGCATATAAATTTACAATATCCAATTCATTTGACGCACTCATACATGACGCAGTCAATTACTGGCATGATGACGTCCTAAATTCCCCAGACCTGCCTCCCAAAGAAATTTCTCCAATCTCCCCGGACAAATATAACAGAGCGTTGCTGATCGGTAACCATACTGCTCCAGTTCAGGACAACAGCTGACGTACTTTCCTAAAAACCTTTCAAACCCAATTCACCTCCACATCCGCAAAATATACTATTTTTGTATCGTAAATGCACACTTCCCTTCCGCATGGAACAAAGGAATTATAATAATCATCCTTAAAGCAAACAAAAATATCCACCATGTCGATAGTTATAGACCCATGACTCACCCCCCCACCCTGGGCAAGATGTTTGAAAAAATCATAAAAGAGCGACTAAATTTCGCCACCACTAACATCCCACTTTTTCAATTTAGCTGTAGAGAAAAAAAATCTACTCTCCACCCCCCCCCCCCCCCCNCCCCCCCCCACAATCCTAACATCCAACGTTCAGAATACCAAACACAACAACCTTAAAACCAACACTGTGTTCCTAAACGTTCAGAAAGCCATTGACAGTGTTTTGTATAATGGTTTACTCTTCAAACTAAATGAATTAAACACATAGCTCATCTAAATTATACAACAATTCCTATTTAACATGAGACTCTCCTTAAAAATAAAAAACACCCACTCTCGAGAGTTCGACCAACAATGCGTCCGTCAAGGTTCCCCTCTCTTCCTATTCCTATATAACATGTTCTGCTTCGACATCATTTCCAACCGTTTCTACAACCTCAGTCCCCTTAAATACCTGGTTCAATTCGCAGATGACATTGCGCTTATCGCGCATGGAAAAAAACTCAACCCGTTCAAATACCAATTCTTTCAGTTTGAGGTTGACTACAACCTCAACTTCAGAGCTCATGCGAGTATATATTGCAAAGAAAAAATGTATTGCCAGAGGTTCCAAATTTCGAAGCCTTACCTACAGAAACAAAGGCCTCGTTACTAAATATGTTGTTAAAATTTATCAGGCTATATGCCAACCAATACTGGACTATGCCCATCCTTTCCTCGTATTAGCCAGGCCTGGAACATAACAAATCATCAGTATTGCCGAAAGAATAACGCTTAGCAAAATAACGAAAATTGACGACGCCCCCTCCATAATTCATCAAACTTCTTTGTTTACCAATGTACCAAAATCTACCGAAAATGTACAATTCATCAGTAGAGATCAGTATGATAATGACGCCTGGGGAGAAGTCATACGGAATAACCAACTGTTTTCTGTATCTTCAACTATTTTCTGTGTTTTCATCCATTCATTGGAACCAATTAATGTATGATCTTCAACTCATTGGACTCCACCTAAACTACCAAAAATAGAACGAAAAACTTATGCCCTTATGTAAATACTTGGCTGAAGGCTCTGGGGCGATGGTCTATATCAAGGAAATAATTTTTTTTTGTATTTTTCTTGCAATAAATTTTGTTCAAACTTAAAAGAAAAAATTAATTATGTATCAGATATTAGAATTTTTGTCTCAGTATATGTTACATAGTCGAATTGTCGACATAAACCACAATGAAAAATATCGAAAGGTCACCATCGTCTAATTGCAAATTGATTTTTCACAACTCAGTACAAGGTATTAAATTATGTCTGGAAATTATTACAAATCCTGGCTTTAAAATGATTTGGATCTTCCCAATCGAACCTTTCATCATTATTCCATGATCATTATAATCCGTATTTTACCTTTACCATTTCGTCGTCAAAAGTGACTGGCGCCCTACGTCATTTATGTTATTGTGTCCGATAAGCAGCGATTCTAGCATCGCTTCACTCGACTAGATGACTGTTTTCGGGCCCGTTACATAAAATAGTTTACATCACGCAGTCGACAAAATATTACTTGACTGATGTGATTACAATCCTTGCCTTCGGGTAGGATGATTAACTCAAATTTGTCACAAAATACTTTGTAGACCTAATGATGAAATCTACTATTAATTATTCTTTGATCATCAAAATTTCATTCCATGAGCCCTAACAGTTGGCGCAAATCTCAACCGCGTCAAGTTGGAATTCCTTTCACTTTCCTTCACTTATCTTTCAATATAATCCGCTTTAATTCATTTAATATTTATTCAATGATCAACAGGGAATTCTGTATCATCTTCGATTGGACAAAAATTGAATGAAAACTCATGTTTCTCACAAGAAATGTTTGCAATTCAATAATGTAACACGGTGATACCATGTTACTACCGAATAATTGCTTTCAAACAAATAGAGATGAAATAGAATATAGATTTGATAGAATGTACATTGAAACATGGCATATCAAAATGGTATTTTCCAACAGGTGAATTATACTACTTTATGGTTATCATAATGTGGCATCGCTTGTACTCACCCGAAAGTTTCAAAGTTTCCTGCATTTTATTTTACTTGGTAATTTCTCTAAATTTCAAGGTTACCTTCCTAAACCATGAATTTAGGCATGAAATAAAACAATTTCAATCAGTACGTAACAAATTCTATCGTAATTAATCGATCAAAATTTAGGTTGATAAATTGTAAAATATATAAATTTGGATCATTCTTGCGACGCAATATGACTCCTGTCCAATTTCTTTTCCCCACGGTTGATATAGACCCTTCTCACAATTGTCATAACCCGTGTGGATGCGCGGGTTTTCATGATGAAGAAATTGACTGCAATAAATTTGAAGAAGAGGAACCAAAGGTCTATAAATAATAAAAGATTATAATATCATCGTCCATAATTGTCTATTGATTTAAAAATTAGAACAACGTATGAAATCCAAAAGTAATCAGGTATTTCATATTTTTTGAGCTTCTGAAGAGTAAAAAAAATGTTGGCTTAAGGAATTCAAAATTAGCAAACAATAACTCCAGCCGAAATCATTTTATCCTATGATTCAATACGAGAAGAGTGGAAAATCTTCCGAGATCATGATCAAAAATTGCATTCATCACACGGTCCAAAAGTATTTTCTGACGAATGTGATTATAGGCCTCGCCTTCCGCTCGGCCTACAAAGCCACATTCGTCAGAAAATTCTTTGTGGACCTGGTGATGAAAATAACTATTTCCGTACTGATCTTCACTTTTCCTCGTCCGCGGATTGGTATTATCCCTTCTCCAAACTCGTAAACGTGAAAATCACTGCGAAAAAATATCGTTCACGGCTTGTGCCATGGATTTTTTTACTCGCGTAAAAAATACCATGGGACAAGCCATGGGTATGGGTGTCGCCCACTCGCGTGGTTGGCCAGTCCTCGCCTTCGGCTCGAACGCCAATTTCACGCGAGTAAAAAACCTCATGGCACTCGCCCTGAAATATACTAGTACACACAGAAAAGCCTCAACATAAACTACATTTAACAAGTCATCTTTTACGTTTTCTGAAGCGTAATTTACGCTTGAAGCTGAAACGTAAATTATGCTGAAAATTGCAGTATTACGATTTCGCATTCGTGGATTACGCTCGAAGATCCCGCAAATTACCATGATTTTTTTCGTATTTTACATTTAGTCATGTGTAATTATATACATCCGTAATACGTTTGAATAAAGCTTGAATAAAGTGTGAATAAAGCGATAGAAATGCGATGGGTTTATATCTTATTGTATAATTAAAGTAGAGATGAATAAATCAATCAACAGTCCAATTCCCTGGGAAAAAAAGAGACACAAACTAATTGCATTCCGTGAAAAAAATCGTGGCTCATGAGTTTGAATTAATTATTAATTGTTTAAAAATTAGAATGGTATGAATCTGTTATTGATTGATCTATTCAATAGTCCATAGATAAGTGCCAAGGAGCTCCTGGAATAGAAAAATTATTTCAATTCAAGATCAATTTTATTCCAAGGATATTCACTGTATTTGTTAAATTTTGTGCACAGTAAAAGAAGAATCATTTATACCCAACCTTATTTCTGAAAATAACGCCTAGACTAATATTCCTACAAGATATTTTTTATGACTATCATTTTCCGTACAAGACAGATCTCTGACTAATTTTGCTATCTCCGTTAATTTCAAAATATGCCGAGACAACTCATTGTGAAGAGAAATCGATTCAACTCATTATATTACGTTACTAATACTATAGATGAAAATTGATTTGAAATGAATCATGACCTAATGTAAAAAAAAATTCAAGCGCAAAACTCGATGTTTTCTCCCCAGGCAGGAATCGCCGAGCTTCAAGAACGGTCTCAAGCTTGGCTCAACCTCGACTAGCCGAGTGTTGGTAAACAAGTGTGGGACATAATTTAGCCAATGGTTAAACCAGTCTTCAGCCAATGGTGCATCTTGAGCCCTGGTTACTAGGGTCGGACCAAGCATGGACGAAGACTGTCCGCCGATGCTTGGTCAACGAGGAGCTAGCAAACTTTGCCCAAGCTTGATGGCCAATGAGTACCTAGAATCGAAGATGTTCATTGGGAGTCGTTCCTGGTCCAAGCTCGACTAGCCCGTCTTCGGCCAAGCATTGGATAGGACAACCTTCATCCAATATTGGTCCAATTATGGTAGCCAAGGTTCAAGCTTCACCACTGGCTGAAGACTGGCTCAACTACTGGCTGAATTATAGTCCACGCTTGTCCACCAATGCCCGATGAATCAGAGTCGATCCAAGCTAGAACCAGCTGCTGAGCAGAGGGGAAAGGAGTAGTGATGCCGTCGAGATTAGTCGAGAATTATTTTGAAGAGATCATCACGGTCTGGAGAAACATCTAAAGTTTTGGACGCGTTGCAATCTCGAAAGACATTGGATCGATGCATCTTGTTACAATGTCGGGAGGATTTATCTTGCCTGGATCTCGAGATTTTCGGTTTTTTAAGTTCACGAGACGAAACGAGATAAATATCGTGATAAACATTTGAAAAACAGAAAATATTGAAACTCAGACGTGATGGATTCTTGCAAGTGCGTGACGAGATGTACCGATCCAATGTCTTTCGAGATTAAGACGATTCCTTAACTTTTACTGTTTTTTTAGACCGTGATGATCTTTCCAAAATAATTTTCGTTTAGTCTCGACGGCATCACTAGAAGGTAGGCGTATATTTATAAAAACTCAGGGCCGAAGGAAGGGGGGAGGAAAGAATAATAAGAATAATTGCGATAATAATTACAAAGATCGAATCTTCAAGTGTAATGAAAAATTAAGTCTGGGATCATCAAAAATAGTCAGGAGGAGGCGGGGGGGGGGCTATATTTTTCATACCCCTCGAATCACCAGGTGATTAAGAAACAATGAAAACGAAATTAATCGGGATTATGTTTAGAAACTCATTCAGCGAAGAATGAAATCGAGATAGACTTCATATATGGACGATCTGAGTTAAGCATAATAAGAATTATGCGGTACACTAGTGGTTAAGGTATAGGACTAGTGATGTTAGGATCGTGGGTTCGAGATCAGCTCCGGGTGATTATTTTAAATTAACAAATGAGGGATTTTCACTGACAGGTGCGTTAGGGGTGGATGATTAGAAGAAGATTATTCCTAAAAATGATTGAATGAAAAGTATTTTTGATTTTTGAAATCATTTAAATCAATATGTATTGGTCACGGCTAACGACTCGCGCCTGTGTCAGGCCCGGTCTTGGTAGCCAACTATGGCCCAGTGTTGTCATTTCGGTGCTCAACCAGCCTTGGATGCCTGTGTCGGCCCGTGACTAGCCAAGGTTAGGCCATCCTTGGACCAAGCTTGGGCCATTTGTTAATTCCCACGTGAGTCGCAAATTACTTGTAACAAAATCGTAAAATACGCTTTTCTAAACCCTAAATTCCGATTTTCATGACGGAGAAAAAGCTACTAGACACCACATTGACATTAACATATAACCACGTTAACGGTTAGGTTTTTCTGTATGTGAATATGATACATCCGAGCAGCTCAATTGGTTAGCGGTGGAATATCTCGAATATTGTAAATTGGATTTCCCTTTGGAGATTACCCGTCGATATGAAGGATGCAAATTTATCGATTACTATTTGTAATCACAAATCTATATTTAGAACGTAATCAATATTTTTACAGATGAATTCTGAAATTGTGGAAAACGGCTTTCCTTACAAAGAGATCGAGATAGTCATCAACGACAATTGGATGGTTCTGAGAATTCAGCGTCTCCCATTTCCTCCGAAAGAAGGATGGGAGCCACTCTGTGACTGTCTTTCCGACCCGACCAACACACAAGCCGATCCAGAACCCCAAAGAGTTATTACAGCAGCCCCAAATCCGCCACCCCTACCCGCATCTCCACTCGCACCTCAACCTCTGATAACAACAAAATCTGATAAATTCACCTCTTTGCGGTCAATCGATGTCGCCGACAACCCCAACATGTTTCTTCTGAAAATCCGCAAACGTTCAGAAACAAGCGAAAAAAAAAGAGAAAACCTCGACCTGGAATTCAGAACTCCCAGGCCATGGTTTACGAAGCCTCACGTCAAGAGGAAGAAATCATTTCATGAAGAATACCAAGAACGAAAGGAGAATCAACCCATTAGTGAAGATAAAATGCCACCAACAAAGAAGCAGAAATCGAGAAAAGGAAAGAAAATAGAAATCCAATCCTACAATGAATTCATCATGGAACGCTAAATGAAACAGTCTGGTTTTTCCACTGCATTAAATTTTAGACATTGTATTGAAGACAAAGCCCCAATATTTATTAATAAACAACCAGCTACTGCAGAGTCACGGGTCTAAAAATTTTAGAAGTATTTTGAAAGTTATGAGGAATATGCTCAAATAGATTCAGATAACAACTGTTGGAATTATTCATGGTCTTGGAATTTTGGCCAGATAGGGCCCAATATTCATTGCAATGAAGCACATCTAGATCAGTACTTTAGTGATTATATCTTTCTTATACCGGATATCAGCTACTCATAGCGCAGTATTAGAGGTCGTCAGACTGCTTAGAGATACTGCAAAGTTTCTACTGAGAAATTTTGGCGTTAGAAAAAGTACGTTTAAATTTCTGATGAGAAGAGAAAATCTAAGATTTAGATCAGAGGAGGGTAAATATTTAGTTGACATCATCATAATCGAAAAGAGCGAATCCGCCAATTCTGTATATCAACAAGCAGGGGTTCGAGCCTATCCGACAGAAGGCATGTGACCGTTATTTGTTGCGTTATTAGTCTTTTTTTATTTCTCCCAATTCCATCGGTATACGTATAAAAATATTTCAATGGAAAAACTTAGCGAATTCGGTTGAAAATTCTGTTGGAATTCTCTAGGAATTCTATGGGGTTTTTATTAAAATTCTAGGGAATTCTCGTTAAACTTATATTTGTTTCTTGCACGATGCTATCAGATATGTCATAGGAAAAAGTCAATAGATTTCGATTTTTCTGTTTGAATTTTTCTCTTGAGATTTTTTCTATTAAAATTCTTACACAGGGTTCAACTGAAAAAAACATGGAAAATTCATGCGCAAGTATTCTTATCGAAAAAATTCCAAGAGAATATTCATATGGAAAAATCGAAAACTATTGACTTATCCCTAATTAAATATCTAATGGAATTTTGCAACAAACAAATAGAAATTTACTGGAATTCCAATAGAATTTCTAGAGAATTCCAATAGAATTTGCCAGCCAATTCGCTAAGTTTTGCTATGGAATCGAGACACGCGGTAGCGTATCGGCCAAGACTCCGACTATAAAAAATATCAGGCCGAGACACTGGTCGAGCGCACCGCGTATTTATACATGACAGAAGTTCCTCCTCCACTACCTCTAAATGTTTGACATTCTCTACAATAAAAGCGGAAAGACAAATTGGAAAAGTGTCCTCAGTTATATTACATAAAATGCCTATAAGCTTTGGAACGATGTGAATATTGTATTTTTTGGGTTAACAGTCACACAGATGCCCGCATAGCAACGGGCTGACATTCACATTCTCGCGATTCATATTATAAAGTATCAGAATCCAGTTACAACGTTGGCAGTACCGGTCCAACTGAGACTCACATTCAACCTCGATGTGTTGTTACCAATGCGTTTAAACGTGGATTGTGACGTTGTTATGGAGAATCACGGAAAATGTTTTTTTCACACTTTAAATTACATATTGGAGTAAAACCCAAAAATTGCAAAAAAAATTAGACAAAAAATTGTGTGATAAACTATTAAATGTACGTGGAGAGTTAAAACCCAAAAAAAATTTTTTTTTTCAAAAAGCCGGCCAAGAGCGACTATATAATCATTATATTTTTACAAAAAAAAATTTATTGTTTCTCAGAAAAAAAATGTATTGTTTCTCAGACAAAAAAAAATAAAAAATGCCGTGTAGCCATTTCAATGCGCTGTTGTAGAAAAATGCCCGAGTACTTACTTATGGACATTTGTTTCTAGGAAATTGAAAAAAGTGCAGAAATAAGGAAGCGCGCCAAGTTCATGAAGTTGAACTCATCATTGTGAAAAACAACAAACGCTTCATAATATCTAGACACAATTTCAGCTTTTCTCTATAGTCGGCTGTACTGTTGCACGTTTAATCAGTTTGAACCCATCAATGCCAACTCAATATTGTCTATTCCTATGAGTTACGGGGTGGGTACGACCATAAAAAGTGTGGTTATCCACACTATAATGAACATGTGGGGATGTTCGTTAGGGACGCCCATACGACCTGAGAAAAATCTACTCCCGCGATATAAGGCCGATCCATGAGTTAAAAGTGTGAGAGAGAGGTTCAATTTTTCCCGCTTCGGCGAGGTTTTCTTTTGTTTGAGGACTTCAGCTAGTTTTTCCACTATGGCGAGGTTCAATTTTAGGCGATTCCGGTTAGCTATTTCATGAAAAAAACGTGGTAATGTTTTGGGGATTTTTCCTTTTTTTATTATTGATTTATATCATTTCGAGATTTAAGTACGTTTTGGAATTCGTCAATCTGCATAATTACGCGTTCTTGAGAGCCCATAGAATTATCGCGAAGAAGGGCCAAGTTATAAGTCATCCAGTAATTTCTACTGGGTTAACTTTTTTTAAAATCTTACGGGGAACCGATTAGGTCCAGCTGAAATGCTGGCGCTCCATTTTTAGTTGGAGTTCAAGTGGAGATTAATCGGTTATCTTTACGTTTATGGTGGAAGGTCGTCTGGGACAAAAGTAGTCATTGTCCCCAGCGAGTTCCCAGACTGCATATGGGTTAGTGTTTAAGGCTAATGATTTTGCAAAATTTTGATTAGTGGTTCATTTCATTATGACCCCGTGACTCCCGGAGAACCGACCCGTGGGAGGGGCCAGGAAATCTAGAGTAATTAACCGAAAGTCCATCAGTTCGGCTCAAATTTATTTAATTATTGTTAATGAAGGGTTTCAGACAGACTGGATTATAGGATCTAGCAGTTACGCCACTTCTTTTCCCGAAGTAATTCGCTGGACCCCTCAAGGTTCACGGCTTTGATGGATAAAAGTTTCCGTCAATCAGGGGCCGTCCCTCATTGGCCGGAATTCGCGCTCGGGACAGTGACACGCGACACTGACCCCCGAAAATCAGTTCGGTATTGACCATGGTCAAGTGAAGACGCGTGAGCAAGGGATAGCGCCTGGATTACAGTTCCCAGGACACAGTACAATGCGGACATTGCTTTGAAATCCCGAGGGTGAGGAAGAAGGGTCGCATCACCAAGAAGTTCCCAAAAGTGAGTTTTCTGGTATTTTTCCCCCCAACTTCGAGCCATTTCATAATGGCGTCGTCTCCCCTTTATGGCGGTATCCCTCTCGCGGCTCCCAGCTACGTGGAGTGGGTTAACCTGCGAACAATCCCTCGTTTGGCCTCTTAATTTACAAATTTTTGGGATTTAGCGGATATTCCGAATTTTTATCCGTGTGTTACTCCGATTTTTAATCGGGTATTCCACCCGAATCGGGTCGGTGCCGAGTTGTTTCATTGGGACTTCCGGTTTACCCCGGCCATATTTTTGAGATGATTTTCGTGTTCAGTGAGTGGGTTTTATCCCCAGTGGACTCATTATGTATTTTCCCGGTCGAAATCTGAAGATTTTCGACTTGGGCTATTTCTCTCTCCTTCGATCCTATGGCGAGGTGTATCTCCATCTCCCTCTACGTATAAATTGCGTAGAGCGGCTCGAGCGTTCTCCACTGCTCCACGACAAAATCTCACATGGAAAAATATCACAAAAAAATAATCACACGACAAAATATGACACGGAAAAAAAATCACACACTAAAAAAATCACATATAAAAATATCACACGACAAAATATCATAAGAAATATCAACAAATGAAATAAATTGTGTTTTTATTAAATGCAAAAAAAAATTTAAATTTACATCTTCTCTAAGACAAATCCACTCCCTCAATTGTGAATACACGTATCCATTTTTAACGAGCAACGTTTTGCCCTTTTGACTGAGAATGAATTTAAGACCCATCGTCGGACACCCTCACTCTCCGAAATACATGAGGACACTAACATATCGCTCACTGAAACCAGCCAATTAAAATCAAACCAAAAAAAAAAACATCAGGCTTAAACCCAAACAGAAAATCAATGAAATGATTTGTAATGAAAATAAACACACCAAGCAATGTATACACACCCAAAGAGGAATTTCATGACCCTGTTGTGGTAATGAATTGCGGCAGTAATTACGCACGTGAATGACAATGAAATGACCGCATTGTAATATCATTTGATATTTTTGAATATGATATTTATCTAAGTGATATTTTTTCATTATGATATTTTTCCATCATAATATTTTTCAATGTGATATTTTTTCATGTGATATTTTGTCGTGTAATATTTTGGCAGTGATCATTTCACATGACCCCTTCTCCACGAATGCTTCCCCCTCACGGCACCCCGCTAACATTCGTCCGCGCCGTCAAGCTGCGGCTCTCGCTTCCCGCGAGTGTTCCCTCGTTAAGATTTCCCTCCGGATGTAAATCAACCTAAAGTAGCTCACAACGATCAAAAATTGATAATTTTAGTATCATGGGCTTCTCTAGACCTTCCCGAGTAATTTGACTCTGGGTTTTTCGAATTTGACTCTACAGATTTTCCGCTACGGCGAGTTTAGTGTTAACGAATTTGTATTTTCCCGCAGTACGTTATACGTATACCGCTGGATTTATGTCCTCTCTCACTCTCACGGGTATTCGCATACCTTTACCCCAGTTCTCGGAATTCTCAAGTATTTCGGGATTAACGAATATTTTTATAGTGCTGCTTGAGGAATTTGATGACCTCAACTTTATACCCGAGTTTATGAATAATGTATTATTGTCGGAACCAAATATTTCGAGTTAATCTTATTATTTTGCGTTTGTTAGAAGAATGCTGATTATTATTGCAATTCTTTTTTTTTCTACTAAGACCACTATGTAAGAGTATGAAATTCTTTATTTTGAAAAATTTCAATAGTTAAACAAGTAAGGACAATATCGATCTCTTTCTTTTTTTTGTTTTGTAGTTTTGACCGCTCCATTAACCCGTTTCCACCTGAAATCCACCCCTCCCTACACAACCTAGCACACTAAGCGAACCGAGGACCGTTACCTTTCCCCAAAAATCTCGTTTTCTCCCTTTCTGTGTAAGTTTTAGAGGTTTTCGAATT